CAACTTTTCCATCCCTGTCTCAACCTGCTACCACTTGTCACGCCTTTTAACGTATGGTGCCAACACCCGTGGAGCGCAGGCGTGGTGTGACCCAGGATGCGAATCGCGGAGCCGGGTGAGCGCGCCCTCTGGACGACACACGGTAACCGCGTGACAGTGCGTCTGTCCCCCACCCGCCTCGTGCGGTCGCCCCTCGAGACTGCAGCCAACACGCAACTGCACACTCTCTTCCAGCACCTTCTCCGGAGTGTCGATTGGAGCAGCCCCCCGTGAAGCTCTCCTCCGTGGCTGCCTCGCTTCTGAGAGAAGCCGTCTCCGTCCCTTCGGTTTGTCGGCCACGCTCCTCGGATCCCAAGGAGTTTCAGCATTTCGGAAATCACCAAAAACGGGTGGAGCTGTCAGACGCCGGGCTTTGAGGGGGCTCGGCCTCTCCACCTTCCGTGACTTGTCTCTGTGTTTGTTGGATTGGAAGCAACTCGGTAAAACCTTCTCTCTGCGTCCACAGTTGAGATGCCCACGTGGGGCTAAACCCTATTAGTTTGGGGCTAATTGGGGGAAAGGCTGATGGAATTAGCGGGAAGTCGAGTACCTTAACCAAAATTCGCTAACAGAGGGTTGCCAAGGAGAACAAAATTCTTTGGAAACTTTCTAAGAACTATTTTAATTAGCATACAAATTGTTCATTTGGAATCGCTATAATGTTTGGCCTCAATCTGCTCTCAAGTAACATGACTTGCTTTAGAAAGCCTTTTTATTAGCTTGAAGGTACACTACGGCTGGAGCCCGTATGATTACTACAAATTACCAGGTTCCACATTAATGAAGTGTTCATGCCTGAGGATTATAGGGTCTTGGAGACAGAGAAGATCTCCGTGGATATTGAATCTAAATTTCTCCCCGTTGCTAAAAGCCTCTGCTTGAATATTTTTCCTGAGCGCTATGAGCATATATTACACGATATATGGAAGGAAGGGGGGAGAGAGAGGAAGAGGGAGAAATGTTTTTATTTTTGATTGAGTCAAAATCCTTCTCGGGTTGATTTCCACCTCCCTGCTTCAGCCCTGCGCTGGGAAACACCGCACAAGAAGACGCAGCCTGCTCTTCTGAGAACTTTTCACCACAGGCTCGGCAGAGCCGGGTACCTGGGCCAGCGAGCGTAGCCACCGCCCTCTCGCTAACCACCGTGGCCTCTGTCCTTCCTGGGAGGCACCCCCCACCCCCAGTGCTCGGGGGCCAGGGTGCACCTGTGGAGAGCGGCGGACCAGTGTCTGCACATCCCCACGTGACTTCCATGGGGAGTACTGTGTGCAGCTCACCCCACACAGGGCTCGGACCATGCAGGTGACCAGTAACTACCTCATTATCTCTGCCCCTTCCCTTCCCAATCAACACGGGGACGGGGTGCCTCCATAGAACACCCAGACATTCTTTCTCCCCGAGAAGGTGTGTCGCGGAGAAGCACAGGCTGCCGAGAGACGCCCATGGGCTAGGGGGGTTCTTCTCTGCCTCCCTGGCCCACAGGAAATCTCTGCCCTCAACCGGGTTCTTAATCTCGGCGGCACATAGAATCACTCAGGGGCTTTAAACACGGTGATGTCTAGGCCACGCCGGGACCAGTGAGGCTGATTCACCCAATTTGGCCCTGAAAAAGCACTTATTGTGCTACCTCTCGCTTCCTTTGTTTCAGGCATTCTCCACTGACTTTCATTTTGTGTGCTGGGATTTTGGCTGTTCATTGCATGTGCACACGCATGCACACACACAGGCGCACACACATGAGCACACATGCACACACACACAGGCACCGGCACACATGTGCACCTAGGAGCACGCACAGGCACACACGCACACACAGGCACGCACACAGGCACACACAGGCACGCACACAGGCACACACAGGCACGCACATGTGCACACACAGGTGCACGCACATGCACACACGCACACACATGCACACAAGCGCACACACATGCTCACACAGGTGCACACACAAGCACACGTGCACACGAGCACACACACACACACACACACACACATGCACACACGAGCACACACGCATATGAGCACACACGCCCCAGCCATGAGTTCTCAACGTGCTCCCTCCTAAATATTTGGTTCTTTGCCTTCTCTCTGTGTAAACACTATCCACATGGAAAACTACGACTCCATTTCCTTTCTCGCACATTTTTTCTCCCCGAAGTGAGTAACTGTCTTGGTCTTTCAGTTGTTCAACCTTCCGCGCACTCGTCGTGAACTCACTGCACGCTCTACCGTGAGCACAGCCGTCTCCCTCACGGGCACAGACACACCTGGCCTTCGCTCTCTCACCTTCTCTGTGCTGAGGTCTCGCAGGCCTCGGTCCTCCTGCCCCTGTCTGCATGACCGTGCCCAGGGTCCACCCAGGAGTCGCGGCGTGGCTTCTTGTCAACTGCGTCAGGTTCCTCGTTCCAGATCCCGGGTGCTGTGCTTCCTGTTTACTCCCATCCCTCCACTGGCTTCCTGAGGGAGTGCGTGCGAGGTCAGGGCGTGGAGACCCTCCAGGTCTGCAGATCTCGATAGTGACAGGTCTGGATGCAAAGTGCCCTCAGAGTGCTGGGGCCTCGTGCATGACCTCCTGACGCCCAGGGCTGTAGTGGGTGGCATCACGTCGCAGCAGGCACTCGGGCCCCAGCCGGAGTTCCCCAACGCCTGCAGGTGCCCCTCACCCCTCCAGATGGACCTGTTCCCCGTTTTGGCCGGGACTCCTTTTCCTGAGAAGTCTCGCCGGTCCCCACAGCACGAGTGTGTCTTGTTACCTCGCTCTTTCTCACCCCTTTCCTCTTCGGATTTTGAGAATTTAAAAAAATTCACCTTCCAACAATTCTGCTGCCGAGATCGGCATTTATGCTATTGGAGGTTCTTTGTTTTGTTTTGTTTTGTTTTGTTTTACAAAAGCTTTCCCCCCTTTTCATGCCTTTCCGGGTGCTCCTTTTTAAGGCATTCTGTTCTTGTTTCATGAGTGCGATATCTACCCTCCTCTCTCTAAGGATGCGAATTCGAGCATTTTCATTTCTTCCCCCTGCATTGTGTCTATTTTCTCTGGATGTTTGTGTCTTTCTCCTCCTTGTTCTGGTGTCTGAATTCGACGTTGGGTGCTCTCCTCCAGAGTCTGATAGTTCTGGGCTGTCCACTCATAAGAGCAGGGCTGGTGGGCTGTTGGTAGCTCCGTGTGTGTGGTCACCATCGGATGGACCGCTGAGGAGGTGCCACAGGCCCTCACTTAGAAACTGTGGACATTTCTCACATCTTGTGAGGATGACACAGTCCTGAGGCCGCTCACTTAACCCACTCCGGGAGAGACCTTCTCTGTGACCCCAACCAGGCAGCAAGCCTTCTCCAGGCCTCAGCTGCCTTCCTGCGACAGGTGGAGGGAAGGGACTTCAAGTTTCCCAGGAGCCTTTTGCTTTGAGGCCGACCTGGTCCCTGCCTTCCTGGGTCCCTGCCGCCGTCCGCTTCTGTGCCGTTCCGGTGCTGTGGTGTGAGTGCTTGCCTGCTGGCCTCCCTCGCAGTGTCAGCTGTTCTGGGCCTGAGGAACCCGTCACCACTCCTCGGTCTGTTTCCCGGCCCCCACAGTCTCCTGGCTCTGGCTTCCTGTCCCCTTCCTCTGTAGGGACCTGCACCACATTCTTCTCTCCCCTTTTCCTCCCCCTCCTCCTTCTCTCCCTCTCTGCCTCCTGTCATCTGAAGATTCACACAGGAGCACAGGAAAAACCTAGCCTTCACGTCAAGGAAGCCCCTGGGCTCCTTTCCACTCTTCAAACAACGCTATGCTCCAAGCTCGGGGTGAGTCACGAAGTGCACAGATCCACCCCGAGGCCTGACAGTTGTCGCCCAGTGCACACCCCCTCCTCACCGCCAGGGCCGAGAGCCTAGCAGCCCCCGCACAAGCATGTGCTGAACACCCGGCTGAATCAACAGCGGCCTCATCCGTGGTCTCCTCCCCGGCAGCTGCTTAGCGGAGAAATGGCCCCAAATGACATAGTTTTAACTTGTTCTTCTTTAGTTTTCTTTTGCTTACACACGAGTGTCTGTAATTCGCTAATTCCCTCATATCTTCTGCTGCATTTTTGGTCTCTTGGATTAGATTATAAGCTGTTTGAGAATGTGAGCTGTCTTAGAATTACAGAATCGGGGTGCCTGGGTGGCTCAGTCAGTTAAACGTCTGACTTCGGCTCAGGTCATGATCTCATGGCTCATGAGTTCCAGCCCCGCATCGGGCTCTGTGCTGACAGCTCCAAGCCTGGGGCCTGCTTCAGATACTGTGTCTCCCTCTCTCTCTGCCCCTCCCCTGCTCACACTCTGTGTGTGTCTCTGTCCATCCCCTGCTTGTGCTTCCCCCCACCCTGAAATAATAAATAAATTTTATTTAAAAAAAAACCTAATGAAATCCAGGCTTGTGGACAAGTTTATAAATATGGGCATCTACATTTTATTTTCTGTAGAGCTTCAATGAGACTTAGCACCATTGTCCCCCATGCTATCATTCTGCCCATCTTTTCTTCTTTGTTAGCTGAATTCGTGAACTCCTGGAGGATGGGGAGGATGACACATTCATTTTTAAATTTCCTAAGTTTCGGGGCGCCTGGGTGGCGCAGTCGGTTAAGCGTCCGACTTCAGCCAGGTCACGATCTCGCGGTCCGTGAGTTCGAGCCCCGCGTCGGGCTCTGGGCTGATGGCTCAGAGCCTGGAGCCTGTTTCCGATTCTGTGTCTCCCTCTCTCTCTGCCCCTCCCCCGTTCATCCTCTGTCTCTCTCTGTCCCAAAAATAAATAAACGTTGGGAAAAAAAATTAAAAAAAAAATTTCCTAAGTTTCTTTCCAGATGCCAGAGGAATTATGAAATTTTCATACATCCAAGAGTCACCTGGAGAGCCCATAACACGTGCAAACCCCCAGAGCCCTTTGCAGGTGATTCTGATTCTGTGTGTCTGAGGCAGGGCCTAGTGATGTGCATTTTATCCAGCTCCCCAGGAATCCAGGACGGGTGGTCCTCAGAGCACACACGCATGCTGAGAAATGCAAACCCGGGGAATAAAGGGCGTGTGGCGAAAATGAATGAAGAAGGAGAAGGGGGCAGGTGAGAGAGGCAGACTCACTCCTGATTCCAGATCTCTCAGAACTCAGCCGCCTTCCCATCCCTGCCCCACTCACAACGTTTGTGTTCATTTCCCTTCAGGAGATGAAAAGGACACCTAAAGCCCTCTGGAGGTGCAAAGCTCAGATCTGCCAGGTTGGAAGGGGAACGGCTTTTCCCAGGAGACTGGGAATTAAACTGACAAAAAACAGATTAGCAAAAGAAGAAAAGAGTTTCTTTAGGCCTGCAACGTGCACACCTGGGGAGGTTTGGTGAGGAGGAGCTCACGGGGGGGGGGGGGGGGGGGGGGGGGGCACGAGTAATTGTGAAGGGGTGGGT